TGGCAGAGGGATGCTTGGATTTCTGTCTTCACTCCCTTCCCCTGCCTTATCTCTGGGGTTCAGGAGAAGCTCAAAGCAAGCAGGTGGATTACCTCATCCTTTCTCCCTTCACCTTTCCCAACACAGCTTCCCTGCCTCTCAGCACACAGGGGCTGGGCAAGGGAAGGGGTGAAATGCTTCCCCTTCCTCTGCCAGCCCAGAGGGCTCCCAAGAGCAAGGGGAAACTTGAAACAGCAAATGTGGAGTCTGAACTAGGATCTGCTCCTCCCTCCCCCTGAACCAGGGCTTAAAAGGAGCTCTGGGATGAAGGAGAGGGATGAGGACATTGAGGACTCTGAGCTGCAGCCCAGGCTCCCTCTCCACAGAATCACAGAATGGTTCTGGTTGGAAAAGACCTTTAAGATCATTGAGTCCAACCACAACCCAACTCTAACCACCACAACCCAACTCTCCCAACCATTAACCAAACTCTACCAAGTGCTTAAACCATGTCCCTCAGCACCACATCCACGTGCCTTCTGAACACCTCCAGGAATGGGGATTCAACCACCTCCCTGGGCAGCCTGTTCAGTGTTTGATCACCCTTTCAGTGAAGGAGTTTCTCCAATCTAAACCTCCCCTGGGGCAACTTGAGCCCATTTCCTCTTGTCCGGTCCAAACCAAGACACCTGCCTGCTTTCAAACTGGAAGAGAAACCTCTGGCTCAACAGGTCCAAGGATGGAAATGATGGATCTCACATAAAATCCAGCTTTGGAGAATCCCAGCCCAGGTTAAGTCACCATGGTGCAAAGCTAGGATGATACAAACCCTTAGAAAAGTCTGTGTGAAGCCACCTTCTGCCAAACCACTGTCCAGAGGGTCCAATCTCATCCCTAGCCACACATAATCCCTGAGACTCCATGAAGGGACCAAGCTGCTCTTGTTTTATCTCTTTGCCCAGCTACAAAAGCAAATTAAAAATTGGCTTTGGGGGTTAAACACTGAGGGCACCTTTAATCTGCTCCCCAAATGTCTCAAGCACATGGATACTTTCTTCAGCCAATAATTTCCATCTTGCATCACCTTGTTTTTTTTCCACAGTGGAATTTCCAGGAGGGAGTTTCTCCTCTGGAGCAGGGATCAGACCATGGCTCTTTTCATCACTGAACATGTGACACTCCAGTTTTCACAGCCTCAAGTTCAAGGCTGATTTCCTCAGGTGTCTAAACACAGCCCTGGGCGGCTCCTTTGGTTGTGATCACATGTTGTTTCTGGGCCAAAATGTGCCCTCCCTGCTTCCCAGAGAACACCCAGGCTGGATTTTTTTTGGCAGCAGGGCTCCCAGAGGTCACAGCTCCTCAGGTATGAATGGCTCTGCAGTTGGAAGGCAATGTGATTCTGGAGCTAGCACTGAAAGGATTAATATAAAACTCCAGCTTGACACAGAAAGCTTGGAAGGAGATAAAAATAGACTCTTGCCTCTGCTGAGTCATCTCCTGATGTAAAACATGGAGCGGGGGGTGTCTAAAGGCTGCTCTGAGACCTGCTGCCTTCCTGCAGCAGCTTGAGCTGGCCAGGATAAGAGATTCAAGGCTGTGCCACCAAACCCTCGGGTTGAACCAATGTCATGGTCACCACGACATTGTCAGTCAGTTTGCCTGCGTTAGGGACTGGCGAGGAACATGAAATAACCTCCCTGAAAATGAAACCAGCAGCCACCCGTGGCTGGGAGCAGCCTGGGGTGAGCACAGCACAGCCTGGACCGGCTGCACCCACAGCTCAGCAGCCCCAGAAAACACCTCCTAAAATTAAGACGGGTTAAAGCTCCACCCCCTGTGTCCCTGGGGGCGCAGCCTGGCTGATTTCTGTGGGATTTCTGGAGAAACCTGCAGGCACGGGGTGGCATTAGCATCCCAGCAGCTAGAGGGTTAAGCTGAGGGCTGCACAGGCTGCTCTGACTCACAGCTCAGCAGATCCACCAAAGCCAAACACTTCTGAGAAACCTGGCAAGTCCAAACACCCTGATCACTGACCCCTGCGTGTGACCACCAGGGACCAGGCACCTCAGCATCGCAGTCCCCCTGATCTGCCAGAGACATCACACCCACCAACCCAGTGATACAGAAATACTCAGAACTTGGCAGCTCTGCTTCAGCAACACTGTTCACCTCTCTGTTTTTTTTTATTTTGTTTCAGCAGTGTTGAGCTTTGCTCTGAAAACATCAGACTTTCCATGAAGAAACTTCTCTCCTGCATCCTGACATGGGGGGGAGGTGAACTCAAATTATTCTGTCACATAGAGATAAAAAACAACAACAATGCAGCTGCAAAAACGGCTGATCCTGGCTGGGCCACAGTAGCCAGACCACTAAACACAAATACAAATGACATCACTGCCTCAGCATTCAAAGCACAGACAGACCCCAGAGGCAAAGCAGCCCCTCACTATGTTGTGGACTCATGGAATGATCATGGGTTTGGGTGGGAAAGGACCTGAAAGCTCATCCAGATCCAACCCCCCTGCATGGGCAGGGACACCTCCCACCAGCCCAGGCTGCTCCAAGCCCCATCCAACCTGCCCTTCAACACCCCCAGGGATGGGGCAGCCACAGCTTCCCTGCCCAACCTGGGCCAGGCTCTCACCACCCTCACAACAAAGAATTCCCTCCTCATGTCTCACCTCAATCTCCCTCTTCCAGTTTTCATCCATCCCCCTCATCCCATCCCTCCCTGCCCTTGTCCCAAGTCCCTCCCCAGCTTTCCTGGAGCCCCTTCAGGCACTGGAAGCTGCTCTAAGGTCTCCCTGGAGCCTTCTCTTCTCCAGGCTCAACACCCCAACTCTCCCAGCCTGTCCCCAGAGCTGCTCCAGCCCTGGGATCACCTCTGTGGCCTCCTCTGAATTCACTCCAACAGATCCATGTCCTTCCTGTGTTGGGGCCTCCAGAGCTGCACTGGCTTCTCCACTTGGGGTCTCAGCAGGGCAGAGCAGAGCAGCAGAAACCTCTCCCTGACCTTGCTGGCAACTGCACAATGGTGGCTGGTGTCCAACCAATCACCTCAGCTCTGTTTCCCGCTCTCTAGCAGAGGGGAATCCCACCCTGGCCCATGCTCCCAAGGGAAGCTGTGGCTGCCCCATCCCTGGGGGTGTTGAAGGGCAGGTTGGATGGGGCTTGGAGCAGCCTGGGCTGGTGGGAGGTGTCCCTGCCCATGCAGGGGGTTGGATCTAGATGGTCTTGAAGGTCACTGCCAACCCAAACCATTCCAGGATTCTCTGATTTGTGTGGGAACAGAGGAAATGGAAAAACTCTCCCCATTATCACCCAAGACCTCCTGTCCACCTCAGACTTACACAAACACCCCTTCCCATCCAACCCCAGATGCCACATCCAGGTGGGTGGGTTTCCAGACACCTTTTCCAAAGGTTTCTCTCCTCTCCACACACATCCCCACGAAAAGGGGGTGCCACCACCCCTGACAACACCTCGGGGAGGTGACAGGGCTGCATTTTGAGGTAAATAAAGGCGAAAACCACCCCAAAAAGCGAGCAGACCCCCTCAGCCTTTTCCCTCCTAGCTTTTCCAAAGGTTTCTCTCCTCCCATACATATCCCCACGAAAAGGGGGTGACACCACCCCTGACAACACCTCGAGGAGGGGGCAGGGCTGCATTTTGAGGCAGAAAAAGGTAAAAACCACCCCAAAACGCGAGCAAAACCCCCCCTCAGCCTTTCCCAGACACCTTTTCCAAAGGTTTCTCTCCTCCCATACATATCCCCACGAAAAGGGGGTGACACCACCCCTGACAACACCTCGAGGAGGGGGCAGGGCTGCATTTTGAGGCAGAAAAAGGTAAAAACCACCCCAAAACGCGAGCAAAACCCCCCCTCAGCCTTTCCCAGACACCTTTTCCAAAGGTTTCTCTCCTCCCATACATATCCCCACGAAAAGGGGGTGACACCACCCCTGAGAACACCACGGAGAGGCGGCAGGGCTGCATTTTGAGGGAAATAAAGCTGAAAACTACCCCAAAACGAGCAGACCCCCCCTCAGCCTTTTCCCTCCCACCTTTCCCACAGCCTTCTCTCCTCCCATACATATCCCACACGAAAAGGGGGCGACACAACCCCTGACAACACCATGGGGAGGCGGCAGGGCTGCATTTTGAGGTAAATAAAGCTGAAAACCACCCCAAAACGCGAGCAACCCCCCCCTCAGCTTTTTCCCGCAGCCTTCTCCCCTCCCATACACAACCGCACGAAAAAGGGGGTGCCACCACCCCTGACAACACCACAGGGAGGCGGCAGGGCTGCACTTTGAGGTAAATAAAGCTGAAATCCACCCCAAAACGAGCAGACCCCCCTCAGCCTTTTCCCGCCCGCTAGGCGGGCGGCGCCGCGCAGTGCGCATGCGCGGGGCTGCACCACCGCGGTTGGGGGGGGGGGATCCACATCCGAAATTAAAACCAAAACTATTGCTTTAAGTCAGAAGGCCTTCCTTATCTGATTGTTTCAAAGAGACAGGGCTTCTGCATCAGTTACAAATCTTGAGCTGCATGAATCCCTGCCAAACTTAATTTGTCTGTTTTGTATGAAATGTATAAATGATACAGTAACAGTTACGACGGTCCTCCGGGAGCTGCTCAGGTAGGGCCGGGGGTGGGGAGGGGGGTGGGATGGGCCTGAGAGCCGAGGGGAGGGCAGGGGAGGCCTCAGTGGGGCCTCTGGGAGGGGAAAGGGGCAGCAGGAAGGGAGGGGAGGCGGGAGGAGCGGGTGTCAGGGAGCTGTGTGCCCTGGATCTCACAGGATTCGGGGATGGGTTGGGTTGGAGAGACCTGAAAGATCATCCAGATCCAACCCCCTGCACGGGCAGGGACACCTCCCACCAGCCCAGGCTGCTCCAAGCCCCATCCAACCTGCCCTTCAACACCCCCAGGGATGGGGCAGCCACAGCTTCCCTGCCCAACCTGGGCCAGGCTCTCACCACATTCACAGGGAAGAAGGTTTATAGGAAGGATTCAGGACTGACCTGATTCACTTCTGTCTCTTCTCTAGACGTGGAAAGCTGCAGAGGGAGTCAGACTTCATGGCCAGTGTAGACAGCAGCTGGATCTCCTGGGGTGTGGGAGTCTTCATTCTGAAGCCCCTGAAGTGGACTCTCTCCAGTGTGCTGGGTGACAGTAAAATACCTGAGGAAGAAGAAGTTCTGATTTATGTGGAGCTGCTTCAGGTGAGTGTTGAAACTTTCTCAAGGTTTTGCATCTCTGGAAAAATCATGAGTCAGTTGATGTACTAGCAAGGAAGGATCAGGATGGACTAGACCTCTAGACCTTCATTTGTACTCTTTAGATGTTTAAAATCCTGTTGAATTATAGAATCATGGGATGGGGAAAGTTGGAAGGGACCTTAAAGATTAACAGGTCCCAACCTCTGTGCCATGGGCAGGGACACCTCCCACCAGCCCAGGCTGCTCCAAGCCCCATCCAACCTGCCCTTCAACCCCCCCAGGGATGGGGCAGCCACAGCTGCCCTGGGAATCCTGTTCCAGGATCTCACCACCCTCATGGTGATGATAGAGATAGATGGAATCACTTGGAGATAAGAAATAGTTGATACCTACTGATGTTCCTTTAAAATGAGATCATGACTTTTCACTGACTTCCAAGAAGTGGGAGGGACAGGTTGGCTGGTTTGTCAGGGAAGACAAGTAGAAGACTGTAAATCCCAGGTGTGAGTTCATGGAAGGAGCAGGAGAGAGTCCTTCAGGCCAAGTGCCATCTGCTGAATGTGAAAACAGGAGAAATAGGGGACACAGAAGTCTCTGGCTGTCAGTCCAGGCTGTCATTGAGCTGACCTTGTGTGTGTGTCTGTGTTCTGAAAAGCTTCCAGCTTGATGTGTCCAGAGCTGCCCCTGGATCCTGCCAAAGACCCTTTTCTTTGGAATGTGGGTAGTGATAGAGCTATGGGTTCCTCTGGGAATCATGGAACTCCTTGTTGCTCAGTCTGGCTTGGCTGGGCAGCACTGACAGGGAGCCTGGGTCCCTCATCTGCTTCTCAGTGGTGTTAAAATTAGCACCAAAATTAGCTGTTGCATGTGATTGGCATCTAAATGACTGGGACTGCCAGAAATCCATGAGCTCTTTAGATGTCTTCCTTTCTTCTGGTAGCAGACAGTGCCCTTGCGGTGGGCATTGCACAGCCCTTCCAGAGAGGATGTGCATGGGAGAGGAGAGAAACCTTTGGAAAAGGTGTTTGGAAAACCACCAGCCTGTGGATGTGGAATCTGGGGGTGGATGGGAACAGTTGTTTGTATAGTCTGGAGTGGACAGGAGTTCTCAGCTGAAATGAGGAGAACTTTTCTTGTTCCTCTGCTCCCATACAAATCAGAGAATCCTGGAATGGTTTGGGTTGGAAGGGACCTGAAGGATCATCCTGATCCAGCCCCCTGCATGGGCAGGGATACCTCCCAGCAGCCCAGGCTGCTCCAAGCCCCATCCAACCTGCCCTTCAACACCCCCAGGGATGGGGCAGCCACAGCTTCCCTGCCCAACCTGGGCCAGGCTCTCACCACCCTCACACCAAAGAATTCCCTGCTCATGTCCAACCTCCATCTCCCTCTCCCACTTTTCATCCATCCCCCTCATCCCATCCCTCCCTGCCCTTGTCCCAAGTCCCTCCCCAGCTTTCCTGGAGCCCCTTCAGGCACTGGAAGCTGCTCTAAGGTCTCCCTGGAGCCTTCTCTTCTCCAGGATGAACACCCCAACTTTCCCAGCCTGTCTGCAGGGCAGAGCTGCTCGAGCCCTGGGATCACCTCAGTGGCCTCCAAATGCTCAGTTCAGTCACAGTGTGGAGTCACTGCATTTAAACTTGGGGTGGGGAGTGGACTTCAAGATGAGCAGAGGAGGCCACCTTGCTGCCTCGGAGCTTCTGAAGTTCTGTAGCTCTTGCACAGGGAATGTGACTAGTGCAGTTTTGGTTCTTCTGCAAAACTGTACTATTTTTTTTTCACTCCTTTCATGCTGATCTATTTAAAGCACTGGAACAGCTTCGGGACATTTCATTTTCAAACCATCTGACCCAAAGACATGATCCATCTCACTTCTTTGACCCTCAGTGTGTGGGAGGAAGCAGGTGTGGACTTGGCAGTTGTTAGGGAGAGAAGTAAAAGTCCTGTGGAAACTAATGGACAGCCCTTGTTGCTTCCTTTCAGGAGAAGGCAGAGGAAGTTTATCGGCTCTATCAGAACTCTGCACTTTCTTCTCACCCTGTTGTTGCCCTCTCAGAGCTGCGTTCCCTCTGTGCCAATGTTTGTCCAGATGAAAGGACCTTCTACTTGTTGCTGCTCCAGCTGCAGAAGGAAAAGAGGGTCACGATCCTGGAACAGAATGGAGAGAAGGTACAGGGTAAAGGTGACTGCTTTTGGGTGGTATAATCCCTGTCTTGCATTTCATCTGGCTGGAGGGAATACTTCACTGGCTCAATATGGGTGTTCTTTGATTGGAAAAGTCAATTCCAAGGTTGTAACCTGGTTATAGATGGGATTAAATCCTCATTTCTTGCATGACAGGTTCTTATTTTTCCCCATGAAATGTTAGCTGTGTAACTGAACAGCTGGGAAATGGGCAGTTACTGTAGTAGTCTACTCTTGACTGTTCCCAGCTCCCCCCCATAAAATCATTCCATGCCACTGGAATCAGTGCTGCACTTGCTTGGAGAAGGTTTTCCTGCCTGTCAGTCCCTTCTGCAGAGGTGCAGGTGCTCTTGTCCCTGAGGTGGCAGGTTTCCCTGCAGTGTTCTGCACCATGCAGCTCAGTACTGAGGTATTGGGAAGTGTGACAGGGCCACACACTGCTCAGAGCACCAGGACAGCTTTGAACCTTCAGGGTGTTCTGTTCTATTTCTGTTTTCACATTGATGGCATTTCATGGAATCATAGACTCATGGGATGGTTTGGATGGGAAGGGACCTTCAAGCTCATCCAGATCCAGCCCCCTGCATGGGCAGGGACACCTGCCACCAGGCCAGGCTGCTCCAAGCCCCATCCAACCTGCCCTTCAACACCCCCAGGGATGGGGCAGCCACAGCTTCCCTGGGCAACCTGGGCCAGGCTCTCACCACCCTCACACTCCAGAATTCTCTGCTCATGTCCAACCTCAATCTCCCTCTTCCAGTTTCAATCCATCCCCCTTGTCCTCTCACCACAAACCCTTGTCAAAAGCACTTGGTCCTCCCTAGTTTAATATTAGCTGATACGGTGACTGCCATATCCTCATCACTCTGCTACAAGCCTTAACATGGGGGTTGAAAGCATCTTCTCCCATCAGAGTGCAGTTATTTTTAGAGCAGGCACAGATCCTGGAGAAGAGCTCAAGCCTTTGTTCCCTTCCTTTAGATAGTGAAGTTTGCCCGAGGTCTTCATGCCAAAGTCTCCCCAATGAACGACGTTGACATCGGCGTCTATCAGTTGATGCAGAGTGAGCAGCTGCTGTCCCAGAAGGTGGAGTCCCTTTCCCAGGAAGCAGAGAAGTAATTTGGGGAAGGGTGGTGGGAAGAACTTCTTTGTACTTTTAAGACTTTGTATTCCTGTGACTTGCTGCTTTCCCAGAACCTTTCCTGTTCTGTAAACATAGTAGCTCTTGTGATAGGGCTGATTTTCCAGACTTTGTTTCCCATCCCCATGAAAACAACACGAGTGAGTGGGTGTCAGGAGTGTTTGCAAAGATTTGGAAGGTGTTCAAGGGCTAATTCTAAAAAGCAACAATGCCTGAAGGGTGGTTGTGTCCTGCATTCTCACCTCTGGATTACAGTGAGGTAGTGAGGATGGTTCCTGCTTTGTAAAATGTCCTGCTTGCCAAGGAACTAACTTCTGGTCCTTGTTGTGTCTGTACAGATGTAAAGAGGATGCCAGGAGTGCTTGTAGAGCTGGAAAAAAGCAATTGGTAAGTGCTGCAAGTGTCTTGCAGGTGAAGTGTAGATAATGAACTGGGTTAGGCATTGAGTATGGAATCATAGAAAGGTTTGGGTGGGAAGGGACCTGAAGGATCATCTAGATCCAAAAACAGCTGCTTGTGTGAGGAAATGTAGCAACTGTTTAGTAATATAATGACAAAGTCATAGAATGAGTTGGGTTGGAAGGGACCTGAAAGCTCATCCAGATCCAACCCCCTGCATGGGCAGGGACACCTCCCACCAGCCCAGGTTGCTCCAAGCCCCATCCAACCTGCCCTTCAACACCCCCAGGGATGGGGCAGCCACAGCTTTCCTGGGCAACCTGGGCCAGGCTCTCACCACCCTCACAGCACAGAATTCCCTCCTCATTTCCAACCTCCATCTCCCTCTTCCAGTTTCAATCCATTCCCCCTTGTCCTCTCCCTCCCTGCCCTTGTCTCAAGTCCCTCCCCAGCTTTCCTGAAGGCCCTAAAATGAGATGTTTGAGGTGCTATTTCTGAGGCCAAAATTCTCCTTAAGGTGGCGATAAGTCTGTGTTCAGAGGGATGTGCTCAAAGGGAACGGGAACATCTTCCAGCCAGCCCTTGCTGTGCCCTGCTACACAGGGGTTGCTCTTTTTTCCCCACTTCCTTTGCCTGCTTTCTGAGCCCAGGTTTTGATTCCCCTTGTCTCCAGGCTCTGAGATGTCTCAAGTCCAAGCGCAGGACGGAGCGGCGCATCGCGGAGCTGCATTCCAAGCTGGATGCAGTGCAGGGCATCCTGGACAGGATCTACGCCTCCCAGACTGACCAGATGGTAAGAGGCTTCATTTTTGCCTTCTGCTTCTCTCACTTCACC